AAATATAACTGTCTATTGGATATATAGGAAAATTGTCTGGTAGAGCCTACTGACGCTACGATCGTCAGGGGTAACAAAGCAATTATGAAACACTGCTTGGCAGCTTGTGTTTTTTAACGATCAGTCGCGACGGTGAAGCTGTGGTGGCGCTGCCCTTTATCGAAAGCGTGTAGCAGCAAGTAACCATGTCAAGCCGGGCTAACCAGTGATGAGATGGAGGCGGTACATGGTTTAGAGCAGTGGTCCCTACACCGAAAACGTCGGAACGGTGAAAAGTGTGTCCAGATTTCTGTCTCTCTATCTAGAGGAACTTGGTGAAAACCACTGTTGGCATCAAGACTGCTGAAATACTTCACTTTCACTAAGCTCACCCTCGATTTCTACTCGGTAAAGCAATGTTAGTGTTCCCGTTTCAGTGTGTTAGTACATGCTCGCAGGTCCATTCTAACTCTTTTGCCTCTATTTTCTTCCTCTAAGTAACAAAGGGGCTTACCCCTTGGTTATTGATGGTTATTCTACTGATGGCTATTCTACTTCCTAGGAGATGCTAGCGGCATATCTTTAGTCAAGCTCCTGATTGAGTGGCTCGCTGCTTGCATAAGGCACGCATTGGGTTGGCTGTATTACAAACATAGCGTTTTTCCGAAGCAACATTTCGAGCCCGCGCTGCGTTCCACCATTTTAGTGAATAGCCTCAGGCAAGTATGGTTCAGGCTTACATACCTGTCGCTGTAGTCCACCGCATTAACCCTGCCGACAAGACAAACTTTTCATAAGCCTTCAGGCCCAAGATAAATTGCATATTTTCTATGATAAACTCCGAGCAGTACACGCCACTTCTTCAACTGCACGGTGAGGCAAACTTTTCCAGAGTATCGTAATTTGCCACTGCGATAATGAAGCAACACGCTGCTTGGGGACTAAGGCTGCTGCTTGGTACTGAGCCTGTTGGATGCAAACTGGCTACGGTGACACAAATAACAGTGAACATGGCAGTACGTTAGCCTGCGCTTCGGTATGCATCTTACGCTGCAGCTACTGGTCTCCAATGCCCATTTTTACAGCCCATTTGCGCCTTTATCAGCAGATGTTTGCTTGTCCATACAACAGGCGGCGAAGTCATTGGGCTTCATGCAATTGTTGCGCATTTTTTCGTAAGCACAGCAAGATAAAAAACACGCGTGCGCGGGTCAACAAGTCTATATTCGAAAAATATTTTCTGAAACTGGGGCACACATCCGCATAATCTGCAATGAGGTTACGCATCTTGCCATTACCAACATTCCTGCTGATTATGTTCGCGGAAGACGCTCTTTGTGAGCGTTCACAGCGCAATTTTCACTCTTCACCAGTGAAGTGCTTCATGCCAAGGAAAATTAGGTCCTCCGCGTTCAGCAGCCTTTCGCCTTCGACCAAGCAACGCGATGTAGTGCCACAATCAAGAAAATTCGGCACAGAGCAGAGCAAAAGTTTCTCGTTGACTCTTAAGCGCAGTCGTCTGTGTGTTCGACCAGTGTTGCCAGCACACAGAGCATTTAATGAAGTTGCCATTACGCGGAAGCCCGACATATGGCGCTCTTCGGATCAGCGACTTCTATGTTGCAATTGTGAAGAGCCAAAGCACATTTACGTTTTTCATTCTTATCAATCAGCTGAATCTCGCGGAATTTCCACCCACAGTTTTGCGACAGCTGCACACTCATTTATGATGACCGGTCTGGTCGGCAGGGGGGTTCGTTTACCATCTATACGCACTTACCATCTCCCACTCGTTTTAGATGCGAAGCATGTTATGGACGAGCTTGATCTGGTGGCGTGCGTGCTCCACTGAGCATGTCCATCTCCTTTCCTCTCCTCTCTTCTCCTATGCTTTTGCTGTCTCGCCTCACAACGCCGACGCAGGGAGCGAGTATATTGATTGAAAAAACCGACTACTCTCGCTGCACAACCTTTCCTTTGCCAAATTGTAAATATAAACACTGCATCAAAGTTGTGACGGTAAAAATTTTTTTGTGCATCACAATCTTGCTGGAAAAAACAGCAGATTTCACATCCCGTGGGACCAAATAATATGCGAAGAACGAATGAGGAAATTTGATAAGTCGCGTCGTTATGAACATAACGATACGAGTGGGACTTAACTTATGCCGTACATGACTTCCATGGAATATTATTTTGTTTGGATCTGTCATTTACCTTCGTAGTCTATTGACGTCACGTGATACCAAATTTAGTACCACGTGACGTGATATGAAGAGCCAGCGAAACGGCCGCAAGCACGCTATGAGCTTAGCATGTAGTCAAGTTTTACATTTCACGCATCTCATGAATATCATGTTTGGACGTGTCATTTACATTCATCGTCCATCTGTGACAAGCGGCACCGAGTTTGGTATATGTCGATCTAGCGAAATGGCCACGAGCACGCTATGAGCGTAGCATGTAGTCATGTTTTACATGACAAGCATACCAAGGTTATCAGGTTTCGACGTGTCATTTGCCTTCGTGGTTAATTTACATCACGTAATACCAAATTTCGTATAGGTCGAGCTAGCGAAACGGCCGCGAGCATAGCTTGAGAGTAGCATGCAGTCATAATTTACATATGACACGCATATCTTGATTACTATATTTGGCCATCGTATTTACCTTCGTCATCTCTTCGCGTTACCCGATATCGAATTCGTTTTATGTGCCGTTAGTGAAACTGACCACGAGCGAACCGTCAGCATGGCATCAGTGACCATAAGCGTGCTATGACTAGTCATAATATAAAATTTATGACATGCATGTCATGACTATGACCTAGGAGTGTGTCACATGTTTCCCATGCTGTCATGAATACCTATATCAGTTTTTCAAAATGTCAAGTGAACGTAACCACCGTAAGAGCAGCAAGACCATAAAATGTAAATCAAGACAATCATAATACGAAAGTGAGGATTTTCATGTTATCACTAGTCAATTATGTGCGTCGTATAAGTCATGTTATGACATATCAATTTTGGTATTGATACCATTGTCGAGATGACCATGAGAGCTAAAGTCGAAGACGGCTAGATCGTTCGATAGATAGACAGATAGACAGATAGGCATTCAGGCAGAAAGATAGATAGATAGATAGATCGATAGATAGATAGATAGATAGATAGATAGATAAATAGATAAATAGGTAGATAGACAGATAAATAGATAGATAGATAAATAGATAGATAGATAGATGGATAGATCGATCGATAGATAGATAGATAGATAGATAGATAGATAGATAGACAGACAAACAGACAGACAGATACGCACGAAGTGATCGAAGTTCACTAAGTAATGCTTCGCCTTTAAAAACTATGGACCATCTCATCAAAAAGAAACTTGATGGATTGCGATGCAGCAAGGGTACGCACGACATTGGCCCTGTTTAAATGGTCATGGCCGTTGAATAAAAAACAAAGTTCCGCCTGCTGCGTGGCGTGGCCGTCGATTTGTTAGCGCGTCCGGGTAGAGTTGACTGTTTAAGCCGTTTTTTTTCCAAGGAGGGCGCTGATTCTCCACCTGTCAAAGCAGACAGCACTTCGTTTTTCATTGTGGGTGCGTGAGGCTTTGTGTGTGACGATGTGCTTTTAAATGCCAAGAATTTCTTAGAGAAGTTCGGCGATTTTGAGTCTGTCTATTTATCTATGTAGCCACTTACGCTGAAAGTCACCTAAGTTCACTCAGAAATGTTTTCGATATAAAAATTCGCTGCATGCGTGTTAACTATTAGCGGACTGCGAGTCTATGTGTCCAACAGAAGTCATCTGTTTTGAATTTCTAACTAGCAGCGATGGGCGTGTTTCAGTAGTAAACACCTGTCCATCACTGCGTGATTTGCGCCTTCCAAGGTTTTTTTTTTGGGTGCAATGCAGCAATGAGCGCCAGCATTAACGCCACAACAGTGTAAGCGTGAACGCGTGCTGCTTCACATCTACACAAGGTTGCCTTCAGCGGGAGATGGTGCAATTTTTAATCATCAAGCCACCGTAGTTTCGCTGAAACCACTAGTTGCTGGTCTGCCAGTGCGCAGCGGGGTAACTGCAAGCTGCGACATCTCTGGTTGCAAGTCGTCGAGTTGCCGAAAATCCTTCATTCTTGCCAAAACAAGTGAGTGACGACAGTGAAGATTCCATCAAAACAACCGTGACTATCTACTTTGCTGTGACGATTGATGAGTTTGAACTGACGGTCTTAGCCGATACTGCTGCAGACATTTGTGTAGCAAGTGAAGAACTCCCAGACAAATTAAAAAAAGTCACAACAAAATTAATGGTCTCTTTTATTCGAAACGCTGCAGTCGAGATTGTAGCAAGCACAGTAACCTGTACAGCTAGATATAATCTCGCTTTTAGTTTTTATAGCCACACATTTATTACGTGTTATTTTGGTTGGGGTCGTATAGGGTGTGTTACTGGCAGAACCTGCGTCGGTAGGGAGCAGTGAATAAAAACACTGCCATGCGAGAGAGGGACGACTGACTAGACCTGGCTTACCTAGCCTTTTTATTATTTATTCCCAAACTAGTGTGGGGCGCTAGCAATTATATATAACATGCCCCTCGCCCCCTCTTTTACGCGTTATTGTGAGAGACACCAACACACAACCAACGTTCAGTTTTGGAATCTGGCCGGTAGGCATACGTGTGTGTCAGTACGCATCACTCACGCCGACTTTGGCTCGGATGCCCCTGGCTGGCTGGCAGAGGAAAAATCACCAACACATGAAGCTCGTAAATGGCCAGTGGTTGCTTCAAACTCTCACAGGGTGTACAATCTTTTTAGTCGTGGCCTTAGATGAACCTGGCTACGCACAAGTATTGCTCCATCTTGTGGTCTGCCCACTGTAGCGCCTTGGTTGGGAAGGAACTCGCGAGATAACTGCCTTTTGCCAGGTGTTTTTGTCTTGGCCATACTGGTTGATGCATCTCCAATGTTTTTCTTTTTTTTTAACCAGCAAAAAAATTTTATTGAGACTTCACGTCCCGTTGTGTGTGAAAGCCCGAAGGCCGGTCAACACAAAACCAATGAAAGTCGCTGGACCAGCCCAGCTAGGAGTAAAAAAAAGTTCTACTGGCCACCACGGAGCCGGAGGACAAGGTGGAGGGTCGATTCCTTCTGAATGTTGTAATCGGAGAGAGTGCGGCCGTCCTCCAACTGCTTGCCTGCAAAGATGAGACGCTGTTGGTCTGGTGGAATGCCCTCCTTGTCCTGGATTTTAGCCTTCACATTTTTGATGGTGTCGCTGGGCTCGACCTCCAGGGTTATGGTCTTGCCGGTGAGGGTCTTAACGAAGATTTGCATGCCTCCGCGCAGCCGGAGGACGAGGTGAAGGGTAGACTCCTTTTGAATGTTGTAGTCCGAGAGGGTGCGGCCGTCTTCGAGCTGCTTGCCGGCGAAAATAAGACGCTGCTGGTCCGGAGGAATGCCTTCTTTGTCCTGAATTTTGGCCTTCACCGTTTCGGAAGTAAATTTTGGCCTTCACGTTTTCGGGAGTAAATGAGTACTCCTGTCTCCATGCTTGTGCAACGCTTTCTGTCTGCATTTAAGCATCTCATGGTATGACTCATTGGATTAGTGTAGTGTCAAGTTTTCTGGTGATGTTGGTATAAACGTTCCTAATTTCTTATCCTAATAACTCAGCAGTGAAGTGTGCGGATACAATTGGGGTGGCCCGGTATTTCAGGAAAAGCAGAGACCAATCCTTGTCATTCCTGCATGATTCGATCAGCACGGACTTGATTGTCTGTATTGTTTTCTCCAGCTCTTCATTGGACCCGGCATTAAGTGGTGATGATGGTTCATGCACAATCTTTCGTTGTTGCTAAAATTACTTGAATGCTTACGAGTCAAATAGTGCTCCTTGATCTGAAATCAGCACGTCGCGGATTCAAAAGCGTGCGAAAATGTCCTTCACAATCGTAATAGTTGAAGATGCTGCCGTCGTTTTCTCACGTTTCACTTCAACATGTTTTTGAAAAGTAGTCAACAACGAGGATGTATGTGTTGCCTTAGCAGTGAAAGAAATCAACGGCCAATTGTGGCCGCGGTCGCGCTGGCACTTCTTCGTGAAATAAAGGTTGATTAGGGTTAGACTTCTGGTTTGAATGAAATATATCACACCCAGACACAAGGTTGACAATGTCCTTTTTTAGTGAAGGCCTTTCGGCGCTCTAGTTTGCCAATTACTTACAAGCTACCATGTCACGATGTGCTTGGTGAAGTTTTTCCGGAACCTCAGCTTGAAAAGCTTCCGCAATCACAAGGCGAAGCCTACAGTCAATAGAGCCTTCTGTGATGAAGAGTTCACTCCTTATGTGTAAGTATGCTTTTGCTACTGGGTGGACATCAGAAAGATGTTCTGGCCATCCACATTAAATGTACTTGCTCAGTTGCAGCAAAGTTGGATCTCAATCTGTTGCCTCTTAAAATTCCTTCAGTTTGATTGGCGACGCTTGAACCAGGTTGACACCATTAGTCCTGGGTCTCTGTCTGTAGTTTAAATCTTAGAGTGAAGATCCGGGAACCATGACAGTGCATCGGCTACAGACAGCAGTTTTCCTGGTACATACACAAGTTTGAGGCTGTAGCACTGAAGGCGGAGCATGAGCCTTTGAAATCTAGGTGACATGTTATTGAGATCCTTATTTCGCAGTCTTACTAGTGGCTTCTGGTCAGTTTCTACTGTCACAGATCAGCCAAAAGTGTAGTAGTGAAAACGCCCACATGCAAACACAACTGCAAGGATTTCTTTTTTGATTTGAGCATAGCGGCAGTGTGGCGCTGTGAATGCCGCTGAGGCACATGCAATCGGTCTGCTTTTCCGCAACAGAACTGGTCCCGTGCCATATGAGCTGACATCTGTAAAAATAGTCATGAGCTTATGTTGATCACAATTACACCACAGTGGTGCTGTTAAGAGTTTCTCTTTAATGAGATTGAAGGTATCAGTATGCTGACTTGTCTAGTGCCATGCCACATCTGTCTTTATAAACTCACGTAATGGGCTGCTTGGTGCTGAAAAGTAAGAAATGAACTTTGTCAAATATGTAAACCTTTGCTAAAGGTCTCTGTAGCTGTGACTTGTCGGTCGGTACAGCCATGGCTTCAATTGATTTGACTTTTTCAGTATCTCGAACTAGCCCCCCTGACGAAAGCTTATGTCGTAAATACATGATGGCAGAAATTTTCAACTTGAGTTTTGCTTTGTTGAGCGTCAAACTATTAGTTCTTGCAACTGCCAGTACTGTTACAAGGTGAGCTATGTGTTCTACTGGAGTGCTAGAAGGGACCAGAATGTCATCGAAATATGGCTTCACTATGACTTGGCCCTGAAAAACTGGTGAATTGGCCTAATGAAAAAGACTTGGAGCTGGGGCAAGTCCAAAGGGTGTGCTAAGAAAACAGTATCGGCCCGTGCGTGTGGTGAAAGTACACAGTCTTGAACTTGCCTCATCCATGGTCAGTGGCGAGAATTCATTTTTGGCATGAAGAATGGAGGACACTGCACAGCCATTTAGGCTTCAAAAGAACTCCTCCGGGAAAATTAATAGGTAGTGGTGCCTCTTGAGAGTAGCATTAAAGTTTCGACGTTCCAGACGTACACGCATATTCTCATCTTTTTTTATTGCCAACACAATCGGGTGTTCCCACTCGCAATGCTCAGTCACTGTGACAATCACGCCATTATGCTACGATCTTTTGAGCTTCCTTTTCACTTTACGCTTGAGTGCACATGGTATTCTGCGAGGAGCACAAATTGTTGAGGCGGCATCATTACGAAGGTGAATGCTGTACAGTCCTGGCAGTTGGACGATACAGTCAAAAATATCTGAGAACTCATCAAGCACTTCTTCATACTGCTTTTGAGGCAGAGGTCTTGGTGAACTCGTTGCGGCATCAAGAAACCTCGCACGGCAGAGCAATTCCTAAGCTGTACAAGCAGTGGCCGCAGTGTTGGCTTTAGTGGCTCTTTCACCAACAGAAATCCGAGTTGGCGCAACTTGTTGTTTACTGCAGACGTGAGTTCACAATCAGAGTCTATCGGAAGCTGTTGCCCACTGTAGCTAGAGACTTTTGCTGTTGCTGGCTTTGTTACCGATCTGCACGTCACTGAGTGAAAATCTGTTGCAGAATTATGTTAACATCTGACCCGGTGTCTAACTTGATTGTCACTTCATGCCCATTCACACTAACAGTCTCCGTTCAGTCAGCTGTGTGGACATCAACACTGCATAGAGTCTAGCAGCCCAAGTGTAATTCCTCCTGCGAGTCTTGCTGTGGAATGCAATGTCAAGCAACGCAATAGCGGTCGGCGCGCTACTGGGTGCTGACGCGGCTGATCGCATAGATGCGCGAAATGGCCCAGTTTTCTGCAGTTGTAGCTCGTCGTGCCGTAAGCTGGACATTGTCGAGGGATATGCGAGGTTCCAAAGCGAGAACACTTACAATTAGGACTTTCAGATGAACTATGCGGCTGCGACGGTTTGTTCGCACTTATCGGGGACGCTTTGTTTTAGGGTGCTTTTCTGCTTGTGGATGGCAATAACTTCTGGCTTTTGGTCACACGTTGCAACTTGCTGTATGTACCTCTGCGAAATTTCTGCGGCCTTTGCATGCAGAGGTGATTTTATCGAGTGTTACTTCGTGCTTCCGTAATAATCGTTCGCGGAGAAGCGAGTCCCGTAAGCCAACCACCATACCGTCGCCAATGAGTCTTTCGCGTTTGTCACCGAAGTCCCATTTTTCTGCCTGTCGACAAATTTCAGTTACGAAATCCTCTATGGACTAACCTGGTTTTTGAACCATTGACTTGAAGAGGGCTGCCGCCTGTATTACGTTTTTGTACAGGCAATAAATCTCAAACCTGCCTAGCATGTATATTACCAGGTCTGCATCATCAGTGCCTGCGGCAGAGTCCCCCGGAAACGTCTGTGTGATGCGCCGTGCTTGCGGTCCCAGAACGTGAAGCAGCAGTGCCTTCCTCGTTGTCTTAGACTTCGTATCGTATTCGCAGGCTACGTCGTATACGGGGTATAATTCCCGTCATTCCTCCTATGCGGTTGACGGGTCATCTCCCGGCTGCAAATGCGGAGGTGGCTGAATGTAGGCGGTGGTCATGCTTGATGATAGAGGGCGATAATTGAATTTAAACTTCTGAATCCATAATATGCTGACATGGGGTCGTACAGACTGTGTTACTCGTGTAAGTTGAGACCGCACGGAGTCGTGAAAAAAAAACACTGCCACGCGAAAGAGGGATGACTGGTTAGGCCTGGCTTACCAAGCCTTTTTATTATTCTTAAACAAGCGGAGGGGGTGCTAGATGCTGAACATAACAATACAGAAAGCTACAATTTTTAGATACTAGCAGTGAATATAGGAGATATTTAGCGTGAAGCAAATTAAGGAAACAGGAAGCAATAGGTTGACAAGACAAAGGACTCTTCATTGTTCATCTATCCTTCCCTGTTTCAGTTTTTGGCCTCACGGTATAGAAGTTCTTTCGAGTGCATTACCACTCAGCTCACATTTCAACTCTCGTCGACTTGATTTCTTGAAGGTGCCTTTACACTAGAGAGCCGTGACACCAATTTTCGTCCACAGACTGTCTTTAGGAGTGTGTTTTCTCTTGTGGTCAGCCTGTGTACCCTGCAAAAACACCAACAGTATGCCGACGGTGTCTTTAAGACTCCGTCCGTGCTTTGTCGCCTTCACAGTCTTTCGTTTGGCAATTCTGTAGCCACAGTGGAGGCACACACAGCAACACTGGCTAAACTTGCACACCTGTACCTCATTTTCAGCAATTCTTCGCGCTCTGTCATTGTCCCTCTCCGGCTAGCGGTGCTGTCCCGCCACAATTTTTTGTAACCAAGGACGGGGGTGGTGCACACAATATGCAAGCGGAGAAAAAATTTCTGCTGGGTGCTCTAGATTCTTATTCAGACACCGCGGGAGCCTTAGAGAGGGCATCGTAAACCCCCAAGGATTGCTCACTTCGTGATCCTTTGAAGCAAAGATATGTGAGAAATTTTCGCTCAGCCGCTGATCTGCCGAAGACACACGCCGACGACAGGTCTGAAGATGCGTTTTGCTGGTGTTTGCAGTCTCTCATCGTGTTACACTGCGATAAAGTGCTGTCTTTTGAGGCGTCGTCATCGGCCTAGTGTGACCACAGGTTCTGGCGACTTCGACGGTGGGTGACTCGTCGGCCGATGGTGTGCGTCTGCCTCGTGCTTCGTTTGGGGTCAAGTCAGTGTCGTGTATTTGTAGTGTAAACGGTTCTTAAAAGAAAACGCGGGCAGTAGTCAACATACGTGACAAAGGAACTACATTGGGCGATGGCGTACCCATGACTCATCACGCTGATCAAGGACCCAAATTTTTACGTGTGGTTCGCAATGGCGTTTGTGTTCTGTCACTCTCATGAAATCTTCTTTCTGTTCGTTTTGACATGCAGTGTACACAGGTGCCATTGCCGAAAACTACATTTCTTTTTTTTTGCCAAAGCATTGTAATCTCTCGTGGTATCGCCTGCTTGGTGCACGGGCTTGCAGAGGTGCTCCTGACCAACTGCACAAATCAGTGCCAGCAAAACAGCAAATACACCGCTGGGGACCACGAAAAGGTGCCTCGAGACCCCACGAATACTCCTACGACTATCTTGCTATGCATGGGGAAGCAAGGGCTCGTTCACCACCGCATCTACCACCAGTGGATTGCGGTATGAGTTTAAAACAAACTAATGAAGCAGTGTGAACTGTTTAAGTATATTATCGCAAACCACTGAAAAAATTATATTTAAACAACAGAGTGCAGCATGATTTAAAAAATTGCGGTTCTACTAAGCCACAACTGTTATTTCGAATTCATACATTTGCAAAACTTTATTAGTACAGGTCAAGTTGAAGCACTTTTTTCGTATTTGAGTAAGGTATTCGCCCGAGTAGTTCATCACAAGCTTACTCGAAAACTCAGCCCCGCCATGGTGGTTTTGTGGCTAAGGTTCTCGGCTGCTGATACGCAGGTCGCGGTATCGACTCCCGATGGTGGCGGTAGCATTATCGACGGAGCCAAAATTGATGTTGGCCCGTTTGCTCAGAATTGTGTGCACAGTAAAGAACCCCAATTGGTTGAAAATGCCTGAGTCCTTCACTACGGCGTCCCTCATTATACTATGCTGGTTTTGGAACGTTGAACCCCACATATCAATCAATATTCAAAAACTTCCAACTTACAGTCATCAAAACATTGTAATTTTTCGGTTAGTGACCTATCTTCCAGATGAGGTGCAGTTTGTTGCCAATGAAAGTATCAACCTGAACTAGCTACCAGTAACATGCGCTGTATCTAGAAAAACACCCTGAGTCCATTGTTGTTTCTTCTCTCTATAAATGATATTGTCTCCTTTGTTACACCAGGTACACAGACTGTTTCAAGATGATTGTGTTTTATTATGAGAAATAGCTGAAGTGCATGATAAAACCTACCTTGAAATTGGTATGAACCACATACAATTATAGTGTGACAGGCCATGGTTGGCTTTAAAAGGCCACTCACCAGGTTTGAAAATTTTGAGCTGACAAGCCAAATGCGTAGACGAGGCGTTTATTATCACGTCTGCCGAAATTCGCAACGCTACGCGCCGCGGAAATGGGTTGAATTTTGAGATGAAAGCTACTCCCCTCCCCTCTGCCAGCGCTGGCATAGAGAATGAGGGCATGACGTGGGCGTAGGAATGGCCTTACGTACACGGCAATGCGGTGACGTTGTTCTACGTATACGACTCTGCTCTGACGTTGTCAACCGTATACCACATGACACGGCAAAAATTGTTTAACACAACATGCGTAGTTTGTGTATTTGTTGCCTAAGGAGATGAATAAAACTTGAAATAAATAATGAGACGCAATAAAAAATTGTGCGCATTTTTCTCACATTTTCCCCGTGAAATGCTACGAGATGTGGGGCTAATGTATCAGCCTTTTGCATGCGTTCGGGTCCCCGCGGTCAGCGCATTGAGCAGACGTCCGCCGTGGAACGCTCCTATGCGTTCGCACACTCATTGTGCTCATCTACTCTACCGCGTCTAAGCCAACGTTTC